TCACAAGATCCAAGGAGGCCCTGCTGGCTTCCGGATGCTACCAACTAACATGCTCTCTCTGTACAGAACAGTTTTTCCCTTGTTTAGGTTCTAAATGGATGATATTTGCTTCCAAAGTTAGTACAGCTGCTAGACACATGCTGGCTATAAAATCTCTCCCTCCAAAGTAAGACATATGTATTTAACCATATGTATGTAACTGTTACTTAAAGGAACCTTTCTGTTATTTATATACTAGTGGCGCGGTGCACAAAATTTGTGCACATAAAAAGGAAATTAATTAGAGGAAATATTTTAATATTGCTATCTGCCCTTTATCTATAAGAGATGAAAGAAAATTAGTAAAATGTATATGAAAATCTCCCTCCTGTCAGAGTCTGGGGCATGCTGTGGGATCCAGAGTCAAGTCCCCGCCCACCCGTATGTGCCTTGAAATCATGTGAGACCCAGACCCGGCCAGCCCCACCCCCGTCAAGCCCCGCAGGACGGGGGTCACAGCCTCAGGTCCCCCATCAAGCCCTGCCGGGCGGAGGGCCCAGCCTCAGGTCCCCCCGCCCTGTGGGAGGGTGTGAGGGCATGAAGACTATTTGCATATTAGCTCTTTATTATATAGGATATATATATATATATATATATATATTTAGTAATATATACTTTCATACAACATTCAAATATTCAGTGATATGAATTATCATGCTCAGACTACTTTGAGCTGATGTGCTTTTTCTTTATAAATGACCCCTCCTTCCTTCCACACAATAGGAATGAGTTTAGAGCTTCACTCCCATTTCTCCTCTTTCCCCTGCTTGCACCCCAGTGTGGCTCGTGGGCCAAATACCAAGCTATAGATCATTGGTGTTCACAAGCAGAGCAGATTTGTCAGTGATTTTTCTCCTTGTACCGATAAGCACAATTAACATTTACTGTAAATCAATATAATTAGCAATGGGGGAATGTTGCTATTCAGCTGATTGCATAGAAAAATAAAACAATTATTTTATTCTACCCCTCACGCTGCCCCCAGCACACACGACTGCAGACCTAGTCTGTGGAGTTAGCTGAGGGAGCTGGCCGCTGGGGGCTTGGCTGATCTGAAGTGCGTCCTAGCACCTGGAAAGCAGGCGTGTATGCAGCCAAATGGTTGTGGCAGGTGACACTGCTCTGCTTGCTATTTTTTTAATACATTGTTTATTATAAGAAAATTTTCCCAGTGTTTGTCTTAAGATAAAGACACAGAGCTATAACCTGGCCCACAGGACCCCACAATGGGGACTCCTGGCTACTTCTCCATCTCATCCTGCACCGCCCCCTTTCCTGCAATATTCCAGTTCCCACCCCATAGTTCTCTCCTCCCATGTGCTCTGCAACTTGCCTCTGCAGCATCTTGGTACATACTATTTCCTGCCTATTTTTTAACAGCTTTATGAGATGTAGTTCACATACCATACAATCCATTCCTTTTAAATGTACAATTCAAGCATATTTGTGGAGTTGTGAATCCATCACCACAATCAGTCCTAGGGCATTTTTATTACCCCAAAGTCAATCCTCTAACACTCAGCCACCCTCCCCAATTCTCCCATCCTCCCCAGCCCCCAGCCCTAACTCTGTTTATCTCCATAAATTTGCCTATTCTGAACATCTCCTATGCATGTAACCCGACAGAGGGTCCTTTGTGTCTGGTTCTTTCACTAGCATAAGGTTTTCAAGGTTCATTAATGCTGATGCATGAAATAATATTCCATCCTGTGGCTGTGCCACATGTCGTTTAGCCATTCATCAGCTGATAGACATCTGGCTGTTTCCACTCGGGGCTGCTGTGAACATTCTTGTGCAAGTTTTTTTGTGCAGAAACGTGTTACTTCTCTTGGGTACGGATCTAGGTGAGGGATTGTTGGATCATAGGATGGCTCTATGTTATACTATCTAAAAAACTGCCAGACTGTTTTCTGAAGTGGGTGCCCCATTTTCATTTCCACCTGCTGAACTTGTTTGAAAATTCCTTTTTTCATGTTATTCTAATTTTTCTTGTTATTCCAATCTAATCTTGCTAACACTTTTATTCCAATCCCAACATTGGGATAATTTCTACTCATTTTTCAGGCTGCAGCTTAAAACTCATTCCTGTAGGGAATTTTGTCTTGACCATCCCACCCCCACTAGCCAAGGCTCCTTTCAGAAAATCTTTCTTTTCCTTCTAAACCTGAAGTTCAACATGGGCAAGGACCATCCTGTCATCATTGTTTTCCATTCTTTGCCCAGCATCTAGCCATCCTGTGAACTACATATCTGCTTGTTAAACATTTGTTGAGTGAATGACATATTACAAAACATTGAGAAAAAAAGTACACATTATCTGAGAATCACCTCTATCGGAACATTTGGCGTGATTACTTTTTAAGTCAATTTCATGTTTCAGACTTCCCACAGACCAAACTATTGAGAAGCAAAGATTTCAATATCTCTGCTAGGGGAGGAAACGGGTTCTACAATAAAAGCATGATGAATGCTTCTATTTCCCTGGTCTTTACTGAAGGTGCACACGCTTCTGTTTGATGAGAAACAGGAGGAGGCTCAGAGACACAAGCAAAGTCAAGTGGACTGTGTAACATAACAGTCCTCTCTCAGATCAAGCAGTGAATGGAAAAGAACAAGTTTCTGAGACGTAGTAGCTTGGGGGGGCGGGGGGGGGCGGGGACTGGGCTGTTCTTCTTGGCCATTAACAGGGCTACACCCCTAGAGATTTTCACTTAGTGGATCTGGACAAGGCCCTGGAAAATATGTTTTTACCAAGACCCTAATGGTCCTGATGCTAGTGGTGCACCGGCTTCACTTAAAAAAAAATCATCCAGTTAATATTCTCATTATTTAACAGAAACAGTTAATGCCAGAGTTAAAAAAAAAAACAAGCTCTTGAGTCTGACACAAATTTAATCCCTGGCCCAAAAAGTCATATGTCTTAGACAAGTTACTTAATCCTTCTCAGGCTAATTCTTTACCTGCAAAGGGGGGAGGGGCAATAAAGTACCCACATTATACAGTTACCATGGAATATAAATCAATTAATGCCTGTAAAGCACAGTATCTGACACATGTGACATGCTCCAATATGGTATTTGCTGTATTTCATCACTATATTATTTCTAAACTATAAGAGAATGTGCACAACCAATCTTTCTCAAAGGGCTCAAGTTTTGCTTAGTAAGAAAAATACTTCCTAAGCATAAGTTAGGAATTTAAAAGGTTCATCAATTATACAAAAGTATCATCATTGTTACTTTTAGAGATAATTTTCCAAGTAGTTTTTGCTTTACTGATATTGTTAGACTTCGTTTATGCTGATTTCTGAGCACCTTCCACAATCAAGGAGTAATTAGGTCATTTCTGAAGCAGGATTTGGGGTCCTGTATTGAATTACAGTTTACCGTCTAGTTCACACTTCTTCCTTCAGTGTCATTTATGGAGCAGGAAGTATTGCGCACGCCCCACCCCCCCGACCCTGACCCCAAATCTTATTTTCTCTATTAAGTAATATATTGAGCCTGGATGCTATCCTGATAGAATTTACTGTCTAAACCAGAAGTTCAGTCAAATTAGGATCTATCAGTTATCTTATGGAATCAAAAGTATTCATTGACTTATCCAAGTCCTAATTAGTGAGTGGCTAACAAGGGTCAGGACTTTGGATACACAAAGAAAAATATTAAGATCCCCATGATAATGGAGGAGTCAGTGGAGACAGGAAAAAATGAGTAATTAAATATGTTACCAAGATAGTGAGGCTGGTGAGGAGTGCTATGAGTGACATTCAACAGGGTGATGTGACAAAAATGTCTAAGGAAAGGGAGCTATTTCAGATTAATGGACAGGAAAAGGCTATCCCAGGAGAAGGCATTTGAGGTCACACCCAAATGGCAATAACAGGGCGCAGAGTAATGTAGGGAAAGGGGACTGTCAGGGAAAAGACCCTTAGCCAAGACCATGACCATGAGGTAAGATCGCATTCAGGAGTCAGGTTTTGAGTCCAAGTTCAGATGAGAAAGGCCAGCAGAATTTAAGCAGGAGAATGTCATAGTCTAATTTGTCATCATTTCAGGTGTCCCTCCTTTTCCTCCTCCCCTCTCTCCCCAGGGACAGCTGTTGTGAAACCCAATGGCATGGTGTTTAACTGCAACATTGGCTTCCACGTTTGCAGCTATGATCTCTGTCATTTCATTAGCGAACTTGTCTCATAGGCCATACAACTCCCCCATCACTCCCCACTGTGCTTTAGAACATGTGGACATGGTTAGGTCCGCACCCACAGGAGCCAGGCCAAGAGACGTTGTGAGAGTTTAAGAAATATGGAGGCCTGGCACACAAAATTCATGTGCTGGGGGTGGGGGTGGGAGTGGGCATCCCTCAGCCCGGCCTGCCCCCTCTTACAGTCCAGGAGCCCATCCTTAGTGCTGCTGCAGAGACAGGAGAGGCTCTCACCATCGCCACTCGCTCGCCAGTCATGAGCCCGGCTTCTAGCTGAGTGGCACTCCCCCTGTGGGAGCGCACTGGCCACCAGGGGGCAGCTCCTGCATTGAGCATCTGCCCCCTGGTGGTCAGTGTGTGTCATAGTGACCCGTAGTTCCACTGTTCGGTCAATTTGCATATTAGCCTTTTATTATATAGGATTCTCTCCCAGCGGGCTGAGGCCAGTATATCGGTGTCAGCCAACAAGAGTAGGGAGGGCGGGGTGTTTATATGCCTCTTATGTGGGTGGGGGTGAACAGTTAGGCCGGATCCAGGTGCAGGCAGTTGCAGGAAGCCGGGTCTAGAGCTGCTCTCCTTGGCCACTTAGCTATCTCTTGTGACACCTGAATGTGAAAGCCACAGAGAGGGAGGAGCCCCATGGGGCACAATGGAACAGTGCTGAGCGCAGGGCAAGGCACAGAGTACGCCTACCAGACATGGCATCCAGTTTTCTCGCCACAGCATCTTACAGAGAGTGTCCTTCAATCTGTCACTAGGTTGCACCAGGTGACATTCGAGGTGCCGACCTGCGAGGGAAAGGAGCGGGAGAAGCTGGCGCTGACCGGGGACTCCTCGTCTTCAGCAGAGTTCTTCGTCACCGTGGCCGTCTTTGCCTTCCTCTACTCCTTGGCCGCCACCGTCGTTTACATTTTCTACCAGAACAAGTATCGGGAGAACAACCGGGGTCCGCTCATTGTAAGTGGTTTGCTTTCTGCAATAACTTGTTTCTGTCCCCTCTACTTTCTTTTTCCAGGGCCTGAGGGGCTTCAGGGTTACCTGAGCCCTCAAAGCAGGTATTTTAAAGGGAATCACTTCCTTTTTCATCCAAATCTCCTGGATCTAAACTAAAAACATGATGGCTGTCATTCTTTTGTGCCCCTGTGTTGGAAAAGTATTACAAGACTTGCTACCAATTCATCTGAAATAAATAATTGGAAATCTCGTGAGATCAAGGAAAGAGTAGTGAGGCTTGCTGCAGGTGTATTTATGATTCCAGCATTATGGAGGGTGGTAGACCATTTTTCTCACTGGTTATTTAGACGGTGTGACTTCTGCTTATTTGAATTGCGTATTCCCTTAGTACAGTGGTTCTCAACCTTGGCTGCACATTAGAATCACCTGGGAATCTTTTTAAAATTCTGGTTTCTGGGCCTCATCCTCCGGAAATTCTGTTTCTTTGTTACTAATGTCGTGGCCTCACCCCATAACAAAGAAACAGAATTTCCGGGGGATGAGACCCAGAAATCAGGATTTTAAAAAGATTCCCAGGTGATTCTAATGTGCAGCCAAGGTTGAGAACCACTGCCTTAGTATATGGCATACTGGACACAGAGCTGTTTAGTTTGAAAATGGAGTTCTCCATCTCTGAATATCTCTCTCATTTCTATTTCTCTCTCTCTCTCTCTCTCTCTCTCTCTCTCTCTCTCTCTCTCTCTCTCTCTCTCCTCTTCTCTCTCTCGCTCACTTGCTCTCACTCTCTTTCCCCACCACCAACTCTTTCCTATTTGCTTTTTCTTATACAATGGTTCATGAACTCACATGGGTGAAACCAGCATACGTAAACAGGGACACACGTAGACTTAGGAGGACACAACAACTCTCAGAGGTACATGGTCATGGATAATTTTAAGAAAATAAAACTTAAATTTCTCAACCTTCACATGTACATTTACCTAAAATGTATCTTACTGAGAACTTCCTACATTAAAAAATATCTTGCTGTTTTCTTTCTTAATTACCTGCTCCATTTTAAGAAAGAAAAGCATCTTTTTTTTAATCCCAAATATTACTGCACAGCAGATTGCTAGGGTGCAAAGCCTTTGAGGCACTAAAGAAAGGACCATTTGAAATATTGGTGTTGGTGTTGACAAAAGTGAGTGATGGTAATGCCTAGGTAATGTTTTGATATAAAAAAGGTTTCCATTTTTTTTCTTTCAATAAAATGCAAGTCCCAATCTACTTTTCAGCTGATAGATCATTACAAATAATTTTTGGTGGGCTGAGGGATGTCACTCAGATGGAATTCAAAGTAATTAATGACATTACTATAGCAAAATTTCAGTCATTCTCACCTATTCATTTATGTGAGCAAGCGTTCTCAAGACATATAGAAAATGAAAAAATGGGAATAGAACTTATGTTGAATCATGTCTCATTGTAGACATAAATAATATTTCTCTCCCCAAATGCAAATGAAGTTAAATCAACACATACATTTCTAATAACAATTTAACTTTATAAATTTAAAATTATATATTAAAATTTATGTTGTTTTGGACAAGAACACATTCATAATATTTGTAATGATCACCCAACCCAAAATAAAATGTTGATACTTAAAGCATTAGGGTCACTGGTAAGTAAAAAGTCAAGCAAATTTAGATACATATTTTTGTTACAAAGAAATATAATAGGGTGATTGATTAAATGCCTTCCATATCTATAATAATAAAAGCATAATATGCTAATTAGACCAGATGACCTTCTGGATGAAGCCGGGGCTGCGAGGGAAGCCTGGGTCCTGGGTGCCTGAGAAGCCGATGCCAGCAGCTGGGGGAAGGAAGACCTACTGTTGCATGAATTTCTTGCATCGGGCTCTAGTTCTAGTTATAAAAAAGGACAGGCTCCTCGATGAAACTTACTTAGCAGATAACAGTTAATTTAAAAATGAGCCTGCGTCCTAAGAGTCACAGAGGTGGTGAGGACCAGCGTGATGCCATTGCAGCTGCGCAGGGCAAGCCTTGCCAATTCCAATCCCACCATGACTGGCTGTGATTGGGGGCGGAAGAGAGAGCTATTAGACCCACCTTTCATTATGAGTTAGCAGGTTAAAGCAAATCCACAGTGCGAGCAAGATCTCCAGAAGGTGGCTTATACCTAAGAAAACTTAAAAACTAGAAAAACTGCCCTGGCCAGTGTGATTCAGCTGGTTGGAATGTCGTCCCTTACACCAATGGATGGCAGGTTTGATTCCCAGTCGGGGCACATGTGGGAGGCAACTGATTGATGTTGCTCTCTCTCTCCCTTCCTTTCTCTAAAATCAATTTTTTTAAAAAAAACTAGAAAAGTATTGGTTCATATGTTAACAATATGACCCAATCCTATTTATTCAGAAAGAGGGCTACTGATCATTACTTGGGCATTTCTGTTCTTCTTATCATGTATTCTTTTTTGTTGTTTTGTTTTTAACAAAACACTCATTTTTCTTCGTTCTGTAATTTAGGATTCTCCAAGTCAAATAAGCTTAGTCTGAAACAACAAAGTTACTATATGATGCTGACATGACCTAACTCAAGCAGTTTAAAGAAGTCAGGTATCATTCTAAGCTAAAAATTAATTTATCATCTGGCTCTGTAATCCTCTAGGACAGCGGTTCTCAACCTGTGGGTCGCGACCCCTTTGAAGGTCGAACGACCCTTTCACAGGGGTAGCCTAAGACCATCCTGCATATCAGATATTTACATTATGATTCATAACAGTAGCAACATTACAGTTATGAAGTAGCAATGAAAATAATTTTATGGTTGGGTCACAACATGAGGAACTGTATTTAAAGGGCCAGAAGGTTGAGAACCACTGCTCTAGGACATGACATTACAGATCATGCACAGATAAGGTTAATGTGTGGGAAAGTGATGAGGATGGTCATGGTGTTGATAGGACAACGATAATATCAACTAGTATTGATTGAGTTTCTACTATGTGTTGAGCTTATTTAATATAACAACCATAGCTTATATTATTATTCACATTTTTGGATGAGGAAAGGGAGGCTCGGTTACCCAGTTCTCCCAGGTCACATCCATCACTAATAGCCAGAGGGTAAAGAACTAGAATCCAGGTCTCTCCAAATCCAGGGCCCAAATTCATAACCTCCATGAAAGAAGGTCCAAAATCCTGTTAGGCAATGTGCTATGCGTTAGAGGGTGTAAGTGACTGAGACAGATTGGCTTATATACCTGAACAGCTCCTATACTGTCTATCTCTAGTTATGGAGAAACCAAGCCCTGTAACCCTAGACTTCTCTTCAAATTTGATGGTCAAGAGGAAGGGGAGCTTTATTTGCCTTCAAAATCCATGTGGAGTGATGGATGATATTAGGATAATTGGAATTCCTGCTTGTGCATTGATCTTTGTTGCACAGGGAAGATGTCCATGATGAGAAAGAAGCTTTTAAAATGCCCAGGACGTCCCTAGCTGGTTTGGTTCAGTGCATAGTGCGTCAGCCTGCAGACCGCAGGATCATGGGTTCAATTCCGGTCAAGGGCATGTACCTCGGTTGCAGGCTCCTCCCAAGCCTGGGCCCTGATCAGAGTGCTTGCAGGAGGCAACCAATCGATGTGTTTCTCTCATATCGATGTTTCTCTCTGTCTTTCCCTCTCTCTTCCACTCTCTCTAAAAATCAATAGAGAAATATCCTCAGGTGAAGAATAAATAAATAAATAAATGCCCAGGATGGCGGTGTATTATAAATCAGAAACTACGAGAATGATTCCTACACATTTGCAAGCAGTTGTGAGCAAGTACAGACAGACTGGGGCCAAGCTTATCAATGGCTATTTTTAAAAATATCTTTTTCTACTGAATATGCTTGACAAGATTGTACACTTTTAAGTAAAAATCTGAATGTCCTTAGAAATAACTTAATGTTAATGATGCTGAATGACACCTTAGCAAGAAAATCAGGTCAAACCAAAGCTGCGTAAGTGCCTCCTTGTGCAGATGAATGCATGCCGGTTCTCAGAGGCAGAGAGGCCACCTGGATGGTGCAGGATTGTGGAACTGAGATGTCACATCTGGTGACACCATGGTGTCATGTTCCTCCAAGTGTAGTTTTAAAGCCAATCTCCTGCCTGGATCTCTGTGGAAGGATGTTCTGAGCCATTTTCAGATCTTGTGTTAAATACTGACACTGTGAGGCATTACTCTTTTTTATATTAATGTGAAGTAGGTTTTAAAAACTATCTTACAGCCGTAACCAGTTTGGCTCAGTGGATAGAGCGTCAGCCTGCGGACTGAAAGGTCCCAGGTTGGATTCCGATCAAGGGCATGTACCTTGGTTGCAGGCACAACCCTGGTGGGGTGTGTGCAGGAGGCAGCTGATCGATGTTTCTAACTCTCTATCCCTCTCCCTTCCTCTCTGTAAAAAATCAATAAAATATATTTTTAAACAAACCATATCTTACAGAGCTGACAGAATGCTCCAAGGAGGAGTATATAGTAAACACCAACCCACATTTGGTGGATCCTTGTCACGGCAAGTTTGGTTTCAAGCAGCCGCTCTAGGAGTTAAGGAGGATCAATGCCTACCTGAAGACACAGTGGCAAAGGAAGGAGCTGTTACGCCAACTGCTTTTCCCATCAAGGAGAGCGGCAAGCGAAGGCGTTTCATGGACGAGCAGTGCTTGCCGTGCAGGCGCGCAGTGCACAGCGGCCCCCATTCGCTCATGCCCCATGCATCCCCCAGCTTTCCATGTTTCCCATCAGCCTCCACACAGTCTTGAGAGAACGGGAGAGCAGCCAGACTCTGCCCTCTTCTGCAGTTTCCTTTAACTCGCCTTCATCGAGCCCAGTATTGGGAAACGAGGCCTTGGGAGATGAGAAGCTCGCCTATGGTCAGAGGACAAGTGAATGGCAGAGCGAGGGCTCCGACTCTGAGACTCACGACCTTAAGGGCAGTGGCTCAACTCCAAGTC